TCTGGAGCCAGGAGTACTCCTGAGACTGGTGCTGGTGCCTCCCCTCCTCAGCGGGAGCTGCCCTCTCTTGAGCGGATCCGTGAGTGGTACGAGCGGCGCTGCACTCTCCGGAGTGGCGCGCCTGGTGTCGCGGACCCTGGTGCTGGAGGTGCTGCTGCTGGTGCTGGAGGCTCTCCTGGTGCTGCTGGTGCTGCGGACCCTGGAGTTGGAGCTGCTGCTGGTGCTGTGGACCCTGGAGTTAGCGCTGCTGCTAGTCCTGAGGACCCTGGTGCTGGAGCTCCTGCTGGTGCTGCGGACCCTGGAGTTGGAGCTGCTGCTGGTGCTGCGGACCCTGGAGTTTGAGCTGCTGCCGGTCCTGGGGACCCGGGCGGTGGAGCTGCTGCTGGTGCTGCGGACCCTGACGTTGGAGCTGCTGCTGGTGCTGCGGACCCTGGAGTTGGGGCTACTTCTGGTGCTGACGACCCTGGAGCTGGCGCTGCTGGAGCTGCTGCGGGTACTGGTGGTGTCTCTACTGGTTCTGGAGTCGCTGCGCGACCCGGCCGTACTTCGTTCCGCTCCTTCAGCAGGTTCTTGGTCAGCCTCCTCCTCCTTGTCCTGCTCCCTCCTTAGAGTGTCCACCGCCTGTCCAGTCACAGTCACAGTTACCGCCTGCCTCGCCGCTCCCTGGTCCTTCTCCTTACACTGGTCCCACAGGAGGTCTTACGGAGCGTCGTGAGCCTGAGTCTCGTCCTGTGTCGCCTGCGTCTCGCTCTGCGTCACCTGTTCGTACTGCTCGCACTGGTCGTCGTGTCCCGCGTGAGCGTCCTCCTCCTGTCCCTGGCACTCACTACATGACTCTGCATCCCTCCACTGCTCCTCAGCGTGTCCCTCTGCCGTCTCCTCCTGCGTCCTCTCTTCCTACTCTTCCTGACCCGGAGTCTGACTCCCTTCGTGCTGCCCGTCCTACTGTCACGCGTCTCCTTGCTACTGTTGTCACTGACCCTACCTTTGAGTCCTCTGCTGCGTCTGCTCTCGTCGCTGAGTTAGTTGACTTTGCTGCCGCTTGTCGTCTAGACTACGCCGCTAGCCTAGTTGCTGCGTCTGAGTCTGTCTGTCCTCCGTCCGTCGGGGGTGAGTGTGCTCTTGGCACGGACGTCCTTCAGGACAGGCAGGAGGAGTTCCAGTGCTTTGCTGCTGCTTTGCCTCATCTCGTGTCCATGCTAGTTGCCCCTGAGGGAGACCCAGATGCACCAGACATCCCGACCCCGCGCTCTTACGCAGAGGCGATAGCGGGTCCCTACTCCTCTGAGTGGCAGACAGCCATGGACGCAGAGATGGCTTCCTGGAAGTCCACAGGCACCTACGTCGACGCAGTTCCCCCACCAGGGGCGAACATCGTCAGTGGCATGTGGATTTTCAGGGTGAAGCGGCCGCCGGGTTCTCCGCCTGTCTTCAAGGCGCGTTACGTTGCTCGAGGCTTCAGTCAGCGTGAGGGAGTCGACTTCTTCCAGACCTTCTCCCCCACCCCGAAGATGACCACTCTTCGGGTGCTGCTGCACATAGCCGCTCAGCGTGGCTACGAGCTTCACTCTCTTGACTTCAGCACTGCTTTCTTGCAGGGTAGCCTGCACGAGGAGATCTGGCTGCGCCGCCCTCCTGGCTTCACTGGGTCGTTTCCTCCTGGTACCCAGTGGAGCCTCCGGCGGCCGGTCTACGGTCTCCGCCAGGCACCACGTGAGTGGCACGACACACTGAGGACGACACTTGCGGCACTTGGGTTCGCGCCTTCTACTGCTGACCCGTCGCTGTTTCTGCGCACAGACACTTCGTTGCCGCCGTTCTACATCCTCGTGTACGTCGACGACTTGGTCTTTGCCACTGCTGACACTGAGGCTCTCGCCCACGTGAAGTCGGAGCTGCAGAAGAGACACACGTGCACAGACCTGGGTGAACTGACAAGCTATCTTGGCTTGCGGATCACCCGGGACAGAGCACGGCGCACCATTACCCTGACTCAGTCTCACATGGTGCAGCAGGTCCTTCAGCGCTTCGGCTTCACGTACTCCTCGCCTCAGTCCACTCCTCTGCCTACCGGTCACTCGCTCTCAGCTCTGCCTTCGGATGAGTCCGTAGAGCCGAGTGGCCCGTATCCAGAGCTTGTGGGCTGCCTCATGTACCTGATGACCTGCACTCGACCTGACCTTGCATACCCTCTTAGCATCCTTGCACGCTATGTTGCTCCTGGCCGTCACCGGAAGGAGCACATGGATGCCGCTAAGAGGGTGTTGCGCTACTTGTGCAGTACGTCGGGCATGGGGCTAGTGCTTGGAGGGCGAGACCGAGTTGTTCTCACTGGGCACTCAGACGCTTCTTGGGCAGACGACCAGGCTACTCAGCGGTCGTCTCAGGGTTACACCTTCAGTCTTGGCTCTGGTTCAGTTTCTTGGCGCTCTACACGCTCTTCTTCTGTTCTCAGCTCCAGTTGTGAGGCTGAGATCTACGCCACAGCCATGGCGGCCCAGGAGCTACGCTAGCTCACCTACTTGTTGACCGACCTTGGAGAGCGGCCTCGTTCTCCTCCAGTGCTGTACGTCGACAACAAGGCAGCCATTGCCTTGTGTGAGGAGCACAGACTGGAGCAAAGAACGAAGCACATTGCTCTGCGCTACTTCCTTGCTCGAGAGCTGCAGCAGCGTGGTCAGCTTCGTCTGCATTACGTGGCCACTGAGGCCAACACTGCTGATGTGTTCACCAAGGCGCTTCAGCCTTGTGACCATCAGCGCTTCTGCACTCTTCTAGGCCTTGTGCCTCACTTGCTTACTTCTTGACTCTGTTTGTACTGTGATCTATATATATATATACCTGCATGTTTACTCTTGCTAGGTTGTGATCACTGTACCTCTTGTTATATTATGAAACTGCATGTGAACTGGTCTTGTGACCACTTGCTTGTGCTCGGAATTTGTGTGGTATCCTTGAGATCCACCCTGAGCTTGTTTTGCCTTGCTTTGCTTTGACTGGTCTTGTGACCCTCTGGTTGTCTCCCACTTCGCCTATGGGGGTGTGTCAAACATTGTATGTTTATATTGTGTAGGCTATAGTGGGTTTAGCCTTAGAGGGTACACAAACTTAGGGTTTCCTACTTGTACCCAACTTCCTGCTAGTTCATCCATTCTCGTTCTATTCTAAGATTCTAACACAACAGACACAAAGAAGGGAGGTGCATCATTATGACGTACCAAATTCCATGCGTTTAAAAAAATGTATGGAAAACAGAAATCGAAAGAGAGAAATATAGTAGGAAGGGATCGGAAGAAGCGAAGTAAATGCAAAGAGAGAGCTTATACAAGGGGAAAGAGAGAACAGCGAGGTGGCGCAGATGTCAGAATCCCAGCCACTAACCATTGGGATAAAAGGGCTTGTTTGTGTAGCGGGTGAGTGCGCCCATAACCCCCCAGGCCGCCATGCCTGTAACCCTTCCCTAGGATCAATCGGGGATCACCAGTGGACCTCTGACTGCAGAAACTAAGAAGAACGAAGGATGAAAGACAGGGAAAACAATGACAATGTCACGTCTTTTAAAATGACCTAGAACTGAAGCTCGAACGGTCTAAGACAAAAGTAATCGAGTATGATAGTAGAAAATAGACATTACGTAGAGGTAAGTCGAGACTAAACTAAGCTAGCACGGTATAGATGATAGTTTAACGGTCCTCACCTTGCACTAGTAGCTGGAGAATGAGTACGGGGCGGATGAAAGGAACCAGCCCCCACTAGAGAGAGAAAGAAAGGAAGAAAAGAAACTTACAAACCCTAACCAACTGGACATTTCATCGCATCAATGTTTTATGATAACATTTTCACGCGCTAATTTGACAGCAGGTTTAGCGCAGTAGTTTCAGAACGAAGCGTGGAGCTGAAAGATCTCAGCTTGATTTTTGGAAGGTACATCTGTCATGTTTTTCCAAACGCTACACAGAAGTACACCCTAGTTTCATATTTGAAACTGTACAGAGATAAAGTAGTTATGCAAAGAGCTTCGCAACCCTACGAAGATTTAGTCGCCTCTTGTTGTAATTCAGGCTGCGGGTTTTAACCCTTATTTGAAGTTCGATTGTGAGGTCGGAAAGTTGATTGTATGAGGTTCAAGCCTTGGGGCCGATCTGGTAAGTCAAAATGTGACAATCGATTTTCGAAAAACAAGATTCAACCCTCTCCGAGCCGCGATTACACATGCAGGTTACCCGATGTAGTCTACGTGGCCCTGGTGTGGTCGTCGAAATTTTAGTGTTGACCTCGTCAAGCTTCGCCAATCTCGTGAAGCTGCTGAACATGAGAAGAAGTGACCACGTTCGAAACCACGCTTCAAATGCACGTTCGAATATGCGTTCGACTGACTGTCTGGTTGCTTGACCTACATGGCATTTCCGACTCTTCCGAACAACCAACTTCGTAACAAGCGACCGTCTTGCGACTGTTCTACGACTGTGACTCTCCAATCACAGCCGCTGACTCCAACGTTTTTGGCTCAACGACGACCAAACTTGTTCGGGGGTCACTTGTTACGAAGTCCGAAATGCGTTCTGACCAGGTCATTACTCGAAACGAGATGAAATTGCGTCCTTACCAGGTTCCTGGTTCCATGCGAAGAATGTTACGACATTGACGGAATGAGTAACCAGCTCATGTTCGAGCAGTTTTCTCAACTTTGAATCAGAAGCACTGCCCCTAAACCCTGGCGAACAGTTACTGCGGAGGAAAAGTGTCCGCACGAAATTCAGGTTTTCGCAACACCTTCGCGCTGGCAAGCCTGGTTCAGCACAAAACTTCTGAACCTCCGCTTGTCAAATCTAGACCCCCATTTAAAAAAAATGCTGTCGAATCCCCAGATACACTTTAGATGATACGCCCTACCTTGCAACTGTCAGATCTTGGCCCAGGCAAGCTGATACCCCGTCGCAGCACATCACTCATTCTGGATAAGATCCACGTCACGCCACGTCTGTCGCCCCTCCGCCACAATGTCGTCGACCCATGCCCCGCTAACCCTCCGAGCGCCGCTGGACCGTTCCCCCGCGCCTTCTCCACGCGCATCTCTCCTTCCCGCTAGCCGCTCCGCCAAGTCACCACCCGCCGCCTTCGTGCGACTTAGCTCGCGACAATTAACTGGGGCGGGTCGCACGTTATCGCACCCCTGCGATCGCACAGTCGCACGCAGGGTTTTGGGCGCCCGTGCCACTGCCGCGCGCGCGGAAGCCTCCGCCCATGCCGTGGAGAGCAGAGCGGGCGATAGCGGCCCCGCGGAGGGCGAGGGGGAGCCCGAGTACGACGCGGTGGTGATCGGCGCGGGGATGGGCGGGCTGGTGGCGGCGACGCAGATGGCGGTGCGCGGCATGCGCGTGCTGCTGCTGGAGAAGTACGTCATCCCGGGCGGCAGCTCCGGGTGGTACGAGCGCGACGGGTACACGTTCGACGTGGGATCGTCCGTCATGTTCGGCTTCGGTGATAAGGTGGGGGGGGGAGGGGCGGGGAGGGGCAGGGAGGGGAGGGGAGGAGGGCAGAGAGGTGAAGTGGCAGGGAGAGAGGGAGGCGACAGAGCTGTGGAGAGAGAGAAGGGGAGGGGAAGAGCCGCTGTGTGAAGGTAGTGGAGGAGAGTGTGGGGGGTCGAGGTGGGGGCCTGTTGGGCACAAGGCAGGGTCTGGCTTGGCATGGCATGGCATGGCATGGCATGGCATGGCATGCATCACACACTGCAGAGAATGGGTTGATTCAATTCAAGGGGCCTTCTTTTTCCCCACCTTAACCGCTGTGGTGCCCATTCCGCGCCCACATTGCCTGCTCGCTCACGCCATGCTGCCATTTCTCCCGTGCCAATTGGCTGTGTGCCAATTGGCTGTGTGCCTTCATTCTCCCCGTCCCCCTCACGCGTGTGTGCTGCGCGCGCTTAGGGCAACGTGAATCTGGTGACGCGTGCGCTGGCAGCGGTGGGGCGCAAGCTGTCGCTGCTGGAGGACCCCGTGGCCGTGCACTACCACATGCCCAATGGGCTCAGTGTGCAGGTGGGTGGGCGGTCAACATGTGCATGACACGCTCCTTGCTCTCCGCCTCTGGCCCTGTCTTTCTGTTTCTGTCCCCCCAAGAGGGAGCATCCATGCTGATCCTCCTCTGCACTGGGCTGGGATGCCATCTCGTCTCGTTGCCGGTTTTGTCGGAATATGCAGCTGTGTGCAGCAAAAGAGTTGCTACGTGCGGGCAGTGCAGTGCAGGGCAGGGCACAGTGCAACATGGCATGGCATGGCATGGCATGGCATGGCATGGCATGCATCACACCTTCCCCTCCCCAACCCCTCACCCTCAGGTGCACCGCAGCTACGAGCAGTTTCTGGAGGAGCTGATTGTGCGCTTCCCGCATGAGAAGGACGGCATTCGCAAGTTCTACGACGAGTGCTGGACTGTGAGTGCTGGACTGTGAGTGCTGGACTGTGAGTGCACAATGCAGGCAAGCGCATTGCATTCGTCTCAATCGTCACTTATTGGTTCATGTCAAATCCGAGTTCCTTGCAACACCTTTCGTCCTGTATGGTGTGGTTGACCAAGTGTCATCACTACATGCCATGACCAAGTGTCATCATTACATGCCATGACCTGCCATCTGCTGCTATACCTTGCAATCCCATTGCCTCACTCCGCAAAGAAAGGCAGACCATCTGTACCAAACTACCATGACATGCCGTGCCGTTCCATTCACTCTCATATCATAGCGCCTTCAGAATCTCCATGTGTGTTCGGTTTTTTCCCCTGCCCCCCTCATCCCCTCCCCCTCCCTACACCTCTCTCAACCCACCACCCCCCACCACCAATCCCTCCCCTCCCCTCCCTCCTGTTCACCAGGTGTTCAACGCGCTGAACGCGTTGGAGCTGCAGTCCTTGGAGGAGCCGCTCTACCTGCTGGGCCAGTTCTTCCGCAACCCCCTAGCCTGCCTCACCCTCGGTGCGTCCCTCCACTCCACGCACCTCGCGGTCGCCTGGCCACACCTTGTTGGCTCTCATGCTTCCTTCCCCCGCCCCGCTCCACCCACCCCCCTTGGCGCTCCTCACAGCATACCACAGTTGCGTGCTCTGCACTGCCACTCCTCAGCCCTTTGCTGCTGCAGCACTGCATGGCCGTTCATTGCCGCACCACTCCACCCGTCCTCCCGCTCCACCCGTCCTCCCGCTCCACCCACACCCCACCCCACCCCACCCCACCCCACCCCACTACTGCCCAACGAGCCCACTTCTCTGCCTCGTCTCGCCCCTCCCCACCCCCAGCATACTACCTACCACAGAACGCGGGCGACATAGCGCGCAAGTACATCAGCGATTCCGACCTGCTTGCCTTTATTGATGCCGAGGTACCGCCCCTCCCAACCGCCCCTTTCAACCGACCCTCCCAACCGACCCTCCACACACCACCTCTGCACATCTCGCCCCTCTGACTCAAACCTTCCTCATGTTCCCCTCTCCACAACGTGCTCTCCACAACGTGCTCTCCACAACGTGCTCTCCACAACGTGCTCTCCACAACGTGCTCTCTTTTGGTCGCGTTGCTCAGAACGTGTCCACCTCATGCTCATTCTCATGTTATTTTGTTGTGCTCCAGTCAAGCGCAGCTTTCCCTCCGCTCTCCCACCATCCAGTTTCGTGTGACACCCTGCCACCTCAACTTCCGCTTCCCTTCACTTCCCTTATACCTTGCTAACCTTTGCATCAACAGCCCTCGATTCCGTCTCCCCTGTTTTACCCGCTTTCTGTTCTCCCCACTCCGGATCTCTTCCCTTGTGTTTTCTCCCATCCTCCCTCGCCTCCGTTCCGCTCTCTCCCCGGTGGTCACCAACGCGCGGTGGAGGGCGGCAGTGCTTCATAGTGAGCACAGTGAATGCGGCCAACACGCCCATGATCAACGCTGCCATGGTGAGCTGCCCTGCCCCCTGCACTGCACGCCATGCTGCCCCCTGAACTGCACGCCATGCTGCCCCCTGAACTGCACGCCATGCTGCCCCCTGCACTGCACGCCATGCTGCCCTCCATCTCCCAATCGTCCCTTACCACTGCCCCCATCGCCTCGCCCCTCACCACTGCCCCAACTGCCCACCCTCTCCCCTGCGGCCATGCCCCTGGCTGTGCGTGGCAGGTGCTGTGCGACCGGCACTACGGCGGCATCAACTACCCACAAGGCGGCGTGGGACGCATCGCACAGGAGCTGGTGGCGGGGCTGCTGGAGCGCGGGGGGGAGGTGTGGTACAAGGCCAATGTCACTCAGCTGCTCTTTGACCAGCACGGCCGCGCCGTGAGTGCTGGCTTGGTGTCGTGTGGGGTGTGGACGAGAGGATGGAAGGCGACTAGACAAGTCACGCTGCCTGCACTGCAGTGGGGGCACCAACAGCAACCACTTTTCTCATGCTGCCTGCTGCTTGCTGCTGCCAGCGCAGGAAGGGAAACACCTCTGTCAGATTCTGTCGGGCACCTACAGCAACCCGCCTTGCTGCTCCTTCCGTGTCCTGACCTCGCCTCAATGAATCGCCATCAATTGCCTCCCATCACCCGTCCCATCACCCGTCCCATCACCCGTCCCATCATTTATCTTCACGTTTCCATTCTGCCTCATCACCTCGTTCTGCTTCATCACCTCGTTCTGCCTTATCAACTCATTCTACCTGGGCTGCTGTGTGAGCGGCAGGCGGGCGTGAAGCTAAGTGATGGGCGCACAGTGAGGGCCAAGACCGTTGTCTCCAACGCCACCCGATGGGACACCTTCGGTACTCCTGCTTTTTCCCTCCTCTCACCCTCCTCTCACCCTCCTCTCACCCTCCTCTCACCCTCCTCTCACCCTCCTCTCACCCTCCTCTTGCCCTCCTCTCACCCTCCTCTTGCCCTCGTCTCGCCCTCCGCTCGCCCTCTTTTCATCCTCTTTTTACCCTCAGTTTGTCCTCCTTTCACCCTCCTTTTGCCCTCGTTTCGCATTCACCCTCCTTCCCTCCTCCCCTCATTCACCCACCTTCGGCATTGTTTTCACCTCCTTGTACCATTCTTTCACTTTCCTCTTCACTCTCCCCTCCACTTCTCATCACGGCACCGCTGCTGCCAGCTGCCTTCAAGCCGTTGCCTCATGCCTTTCACGGGCCTGGCGCCTGCACCCTGAAACCATACCACGTGCTGCACCCTGAAACCATACCACACAATCACCCACCACACAATCACCCACCACACATCGTTGCAATTCCTCTCACTCCCCCCTCTCCCGTACTTCACTCCCCCCTCTCCCGTACTTCACTCCCCCCTCTCCCGTACTTCACTCCCCCCTCTCCCGTACTTCACTCCCCCCTCTCCCGTACTTCACTCCCCCCTCTCCCGTACTTCACTCCCCCCTCATCTCCCACAACCCCCACCCCCTCGGGGCGGGCAGGCAAGCTGGTGGGGGAGGAGCGCATGCCGGAGGAGGAGAGGCAGTTCCAGCAGCGCTACCGCCAGGCGCCCTCCTTCCTCTCCATGCACCTCGGCGTCAGGGCTGACGCGCTGCCGCCTGGCACTGAGTGCCACCACCTGGTGCTGGAGGTGAGTGCCACCACCTGGTGCTGGAGGTGAGTGCCACCACCTGGTGCTGGAGGTGAGTGCCACCACCTGGTGCTGGAGGTGAGTGCCACCACCTGGTGCTGGAGGTGAGTGCCACCACCTGGTGCTGGAGGTGAGTGCCACCACCTGGTGCTGGAGGTGAGTGCCACCACCTGGTGCTGGAGGTGAGTGCCACCACCTGGTGCTGGAGGTGAGTGCCACCACCTGGTGCTGGAGGTGAGTGCCACCACCTGGTGCTGGAGGTGAGTGCCACCACCTGGTGCTGGAGGTGAGTGCCACCACCTGGTGCTGGAGGTGAGTGCCACCACCTGGTGCTGGAGGTGAGTGCCACCACCTGGTGCTGGAGGTGAGTGCCACCACCTGGCACACAACATCTACTTTCCAGTCTTTAGCACCCAGCACTTAGTACACTTTCCTCTCAGAACTTTGCCGTCAGGCATGCACTGTGCCATACGATTTTATATGCGCCATCCATTCTGACCCCATACCCACTCAGCTCCACTTCGCTTCCCTCAGTGCCGATCCAGTCGTCCTCTTTCTTGCGTGTGGTGTGGTGTGGTGTGGTGTGGTGTGGTGTGGTGTGGTATGGTGTGGTGTGGTGTGGTGTGGTGTGGTGTGGTGTGGTGTGAGGGCAGAGTGAGTGGGAGCGCATGGAGGAGCCGTATGAAAGCATCTTCCTCAGCATCCCCACTGTAAGCCGTGCTGTGCACACAGCTGCACGGCAATCTCATCTTTGCACACAGCTGCACGGCAATCTCATTTTCGGTTCTTGCGTTTGGTTAGGCTCGGGTTGATCAAGCTTGTGAGATGTACCTGAGATGGTAATCCAATGCTGCTCGCCTTGTTGCCATGCCAACCTCCGTCTGCCTCGCCTCCCTGCCTCGCCCCTCAGGTGCTGGACCCATCGCTGGCGCCCGCTGGGCGGCACATTCTGCACGTCTTCACCACCGCGTGGATGCACGACTGGCAGGTGGGATGCACGACTGGCAGGTGGGATGCACGACTGGCAGGTGGGATGCACGACTGGCAGGTGGGATGCACGACTGGCAGGTGGGGTGTGTGTGACTTACCATTTGTCGCCTTCTAGTGTCACGACATGCATTTTTGTGGGCTATGTCCCAACTATTACTCCCCTCCTCAACATTTCATCCAGGATGCAACCGCCCCATGCATGCAACCGCCCCATGCATGCAACCGCCCCATGCATGCAACCGCCCCATGCATGCAATCACCTCCACTCCACTTCACCCCACGCGCTGTGCACTGCCCTGCATTGCACCCCGTGTGGCAGGGCATGAGCACGGAGGAGTACAATGCCAAGAAGCAGCAGGTGGCGTCGCAGATCATCGCCCGCCTCGAAAAGACCCTCTTCCCCGGCCTCTCCGATGCCATCGAGCTCATGGACGTGAGTTGACTTGGATAACTTTAGTTGACTCGATTGTAAGGCTTTAAACTGGAAAATGTGAGTAACTGGGTCAAGTAATCCAGCAACTTTTCAATCTCATTCATGCATTCCTCAGCATCTCATTCATGCATTCCTCAGCATCTCATTCATGCATTCCTCGGCATCTCATTCATGCATTCCTCAGCATCTCATTCATGCATTCCTCAGCATCTCATTCATGCATTCCTCAGCATCTCATTCATGCATTCCTCAGCGTCTCATTCATGCATTCCTCAGCATCCCATTCATGCATTCCTCAGCATCTCTAGCCCCCTCCACTTGCCAGCTCCATTCCCATCCGCCTCTCCGTGTCGTCCCCAACTCAACACCCATACGGCAGGTGGGCACGCCGCGCACGCACCGGCGCTTCTTGAACCGGGTGGACGGCACGTACGGCCCCATCCCGGCGCGCCGCCCGCTGGGGCTGCTTGGCATGCCCTTCAACACCACGGTGCGCCCTCATGCCCTTCAACACCACGGTGCGCCCTCATGCCCTTCAACACCACGGTGCGCCCTCATGCCCTTCAACACCACGGTGCGCCCTCATGCCCTTCAACACCACGGTGCGCCCTCATGCCCTTCAACACCACGGTGCGCCCTCATGCCCTTCAACACCACGGTGCGCCCTCATGCCCTTCAACACCACGGTGCGCCCTCATGCCCTTCAACACCACGGTGCGCCCTCATGCCCTTCAACACCACGGTGCGCCCTCATGCCCTTCAACACCACGGTGCGCCCTCATGCCCTTCAACACCACGGTGCGCCCTCATGCCCTTCAACACCACGGTGCGCCCTCATGCCCTTCAACACCACGGTGCGCCCTCATGCCCTTCAACACCACGGTGCGCCCTCATGCCCTTCAACACCACGGTGCGCCCTCATGCCCTTCAACACCACGGTGCGCCCTCATGCCCTTCAACACCACGGTGCGCCCTCATGCCCTTCAACACCACGGTGCGCCCGGCCCCTTCCTTTGGCGCTCCAACCCCATGCGTCCCCTCTATGGTCCCATGCATACCACATTGTTCAATGTGCTATCGTTCAATGTGCTATTGTTCAATGTGCTCTTGTTCAATGTGCTATTGTTCAATGTGCTATCGTTCAATGTGCTATTGTTTTACAATACATGGTTGTGGGTTGGTTGAGGTTGGGAGAAGTATAAGGATGAAGCTGGGTGGGGGAGGGGAAGAGGAAAGCGGGTCAGAGCATTACGCACACATCAGTTTCTATTGCTTGTGCTCCCTGCCGCCATCACCCCTCCACGCGTGCAGCAAGTGCCGGGGCTGTACTGTGTGGGCGACAGCTGCTTCCCCGGCCAGGGAGTCATCGCAGTGGCCTTCTCCGGCATCATGTGCGCCCACCGAGTCGCTGCTGACCTTGGTGAGTGCCGAGCCTGGGTGAGTCCCAAGCCTGGGTGAGTGCTGAGCCTGGGTAAATGCCGAGCCTGGATGAGTGCCACGCCTGGGTGAGTGCCACGGCTGGGGGAGTGCCGAACCTGGGTGAGTGCCTAACCTGGGTGAATGCCACACCTGGGTGCGTGCCTGACCTGGGTGACTGGCTGGGTAGGTTTAGATTATGAGGATAAGGTGGGTATGAGCCATGCAGATATAAGAATTGGAGTGTTGGTTAAACACCAGTACTCTCCACTTAACTGACTGCTGCCTGGGAATGAATCGGAACCAAGGCATGGTCAACTCCTGCCCCTCCCATGGTGTTGTTTTGAGCTCCTCACCTCACCTTGCAAGGCACTCATCACTCCCTTTCGCCTTCATATCTTGTCTTTGTTTTCCCAACTCCCCACCCACAGGCTATGAAAAGCGTAATGAGGCACTGGATACTGGACTTTCTAAGTTGCTTGCATGGTTCCGCACCCTTGCATAAATGTGCACATGATTCTCACGAGTAATGTACCGCAATGGCTGATCCTGTGCAATTCTTTCAAGCTACAGTGTTTGTACAGTCTCACACAACAATTTTGAATTGTTTTTGGGTTGCGAAGGAACCTATTACAATCGATACCCGTAATCTCCCGGCAAGAAGACCCCCCCCGCGTACAAGCCCCTGGATCCTCCTTTATCCGGACCAGGGGTCTTTTATTATCTCATTCTGTCAGAGGTCCACTGGTGATCCCCGATTGATCCTAGGGAAGGGTTACAGGCATGGCGGCCTGGGGGGTTATGGGCGCACTCACCCGCTACACAAACAAGCCCTTTTATCCCAGTGGTTAGTGGCTGGGATTCTGACATGGTATCAGAGCGAAGGTCTCGGGTTCGAATCCCGGTGTGTGCACCTCGGGCATCCCAGTGCGGGGGGGTGTCAGAGGTCGACTGGTGATCCCCGATTGATCTTAGGGAAGGGTTACAGGCATGACGGCCTGGGGGTTATGGGCGCACTCACCCGCTACACAAACAAGCCCTTTTATCCCAGTGGTTAGTGGCTGGGATTCTGACACATTCCAGTAGAGGACCCGTGTTTTGACTCAATTCAATATAAGACCCTCCCCCTTTTTGCAATACGCTATGATGACTATTGTTTAAACGGTGAACTGGTTAGCGAGTCACAAAAAAAAGCCACCAGATTCACATAGTCGAGCAAATCTGTGGTCAAGTCAGTCAAAACGTCACATCGATCTCGTGTTTTTGCTGTCCGTCACGCAAGAAACGCTGACGTAATTGTCACGATTGGGCATGTCAGAGCGTGCAGATGGGAATCAGCGAGAATGCGATGCGAGAATCCGAAAACAGAAGTCCGCGTTGTGAAGGAATCCGAAAATCGGTACATTTTTTTTTTAAGTTCTTCAACACCGTTGTACAGAATCCATTTTTTGTAATTATTAGATGTCCGGGGGTCTTATGCACTATATGCCATCAAATAAGACCCCACAAGCCATTTTTAGCACATTTAGGATAAGACCCCCGGGTCTTCTAACCGGGAGATCACGGTATGTTATGTTTTTTTTCATCCTCTATACTTTCAAAAAGTAGATGGTGTAAAAAAACCTGAGGAATATTGTTTCAGTGACTAATGTTTGAGGTGGCATTTTAGCACACATGTCATGGTACTAAACTTCTTAATTTGCCCCAGGTAGTATGGATGAATGTACTTTGTCAAAGTATAAATGTGTTATATGTTTGTAGGCTGTAGTGGGGTAGCCAATATGGGGTACAACCCAAACTAGGGTTTCCTACTTGTACTCTTGTTTCCTTCAATCCAACATCATTCTTGCCTCATAGTTTTAACATGGTTTCACAGCAGTAGGTCCGTTAGGACCGATTATTTTTTTCCGGGCCCACCGAATGCCTGTCTGACTACGGTTACCGCGCTGCCCTACATGCGCCCTGCCTAGCCTGCCCGTCGCGCTGCCCCTAATCCCGCGCCCGGCCCCTTCCCTTCCCGTCGCGTCGCCCTAAGCCCGCGCCCAGCCCCCTGCCTGCCCGTCGCGCTGCCCCTAAGCCCGCGCCCCGCCCTTGCCTGCCCGTCGCGTCTCCCTAAGCCCGCGCCCGGCCCCCCTTGCTCACCGTCGCGCTGCCCCTAAGCCCGCGCCTGGCCCCTGCCTGCCCGTCGCGCTGCCCCTAAGCCCGCGCCCGGCCCCTGCCTGCCCGACGCGCTGCCCCTAAGCCCGCGCCCGGCCCCCGCCTGCCCGTCGCGCTGCCCCTAAGCCCGCGCCCGGCCCCCTGCCTGCCCGTCGCGTCGCCCTAGACCCGCGCCCGGCCCCCTGCCTGCCCGTCGCGTCGCCCTAAGCCCGCGCCCGGCCCCCTGCTCACCGTCGCGCTGCCCCTACGCCTGCGCCCGGCCCCCTGCCTACCGTCGCGCTGCCTTTAAGCCCTCGCCCGGCCCTTAGCCTGCCCCAGCATACTGCTTTACGCCAGCCTACCTTGTACTGCTGCCATGGCGACCATGAATGTGCTAGCTTTCGAGTCTGACGGTCGCCCGATCGCATTTCCCACTTGGCTTGATGACCTGCAGCTTTTCCTTCTGACTGATGCCAAAGATGGTGTCTCGCTTTTCGACTATGCCACTGGCACTGCCGCTGCTCCTGCTGATAGTGCTCCTGCTGTAGACTGCTCACAGTGGCTGACTCGAGATGCTGCTGCGCGCCTTGCTATCCGCAACCATCTGCCGATCGCTGAGCGCGCGCATTTCAGTCAGCACAAAACTGCCAAGGCACTTTATGACGCAGTAGTTGCACGCTACTCCTCCCCAGCCACTGCCGCTGTAGGAGGCCTCATCCTGCCCTACCTGTTCCCTGACCTGTCCTCCTTCCCCACTGCTGCGGACTTGATTACTCACCTTCGCGATAGTGAGGCCCGCTTCAACGCCGCTCTTAAGGATGAGTTCCGTGCCAAGAACCCCCCTCCACTCTACTTTACCCTCTACCTTCTCGTCACTTGCCTCCCTGACACCCTTAGCACAGTCAGGGACCACTTCCTCGCCATCGACGCCCCCGAGATCACCCTAGACGACTTCAAGCGGCAGCTTCTCGCAGCAGAGAAGAATCTCCTAGCTGTCGGTGCCGCTCGAGGCACTCCCCGCACTCCCCTCTTTGAGGGGTGCTCCCCCTCCCCCCTCACCCCCTCGTACGCCTCGGTTGCTACTCCCGTTGACCTTCCTGGTGCTGAGAGGGTCGCAACTGCTTCCGTTTCTGGTGGGAAGCGCGGCGGGGGCCGGGGCGGCAAGGGGGGCAGGGGTGGCGGGGGTGGGGGTGGGGGAAGCGGTGGTGGGGGCGGTGGGGGTGGTGGGGGAGGTGGAGGTGGTCGTGGGGGTGGTGGAGGTGGCAGCGGCGGCAAGGGGGGAGGAGGCGGTGGTGGTGGGGGTGGTGGTGGAGGCGGGAGTGGGACCGGCAGCAGCAGCAGCAGCAGCAGCAGTCGCAGCAGCAGCAGCAGCAGCAGCAGCAGCAGTCGCAGCAGCAGCAGCAGCGCCAGACCCCCTCCTCTCAGCAGCTTCATGACTGGTATGCTGGGCGTGGGGCGTCTGGGGGTTCTGGTCGCTGCCCCTATGTCATTCTCACTGGCCCTCGCAAGGGCCGCACGTGCAACGGCCTTCACCCTGAGTCCCGTTGCTTTGCGCGCCTCAGCGACGCCTGGCGCGCCAAGTTCCCTGATGCCACTGAGTTCCCCAACTGGGCTGATCTGCTTAGGCGTGATGTCAATGTCTATGATCTTGACTATGATGCAATCCTTGCTGCCATGTATGCATTGACTGTTAGTGCTGAGGGTGACTGCTACTTGTGCGTTCCGCCTGACCCAGGTATAGAGACTGCAGCCCTAGGTGCTCGTGCGTCTGACCCCTCTGGTACTGCGTCCGCACAGGCTTTGCACACGTTTACACTTGACTCTGGTGCTTCTCGCTGTTTCTTTCGCGACAGCACCGCAGTCACCCCCCTCCCTGCACCTGTTCCTGTCTCGCTGGCTGACCCCTCTGGGGGCCCAGTGCTTGCACGTGCCACGACTGTGCTTCCGTGCCCGGCGGTCCCGTCTGGTGAGCTGTCAGGTCTCCATGTTCCCTCGTTCTCTACGAACTTGGTGAGCAACGCCGTCCTTCAGGATCACTGGGTTGACACCTGGACTCCTGGAGGACAGCGTGTGGCGATCTGTACCTGCTCCAAGACTGGCCGCCACCTGGCCACGTTCACCCGTGAGCCGGGGTCCAGTCTTTACACTCTCACCACTGTTTCACGCTCCACTCCTTTGTCTCCACAGCTGTACGCGTCTGCTCAGGTAGCCACCCAGTGTGAGTGCCGCCGCCTGTCCCACGACACTCTCCTCTAGCACCACCGCCTTGGTCACCCCTCCCTGCCTCGCCTGCGTGGCATGCACTCTCGCTGTCTGGTCTCTGGTCTTCCCAGGTCCCTGCCTGCACTCCCTCCCTCGCCTGCGCCGCCCTGCATTCTTTGCGTCGAGGGGCGGCAGCGCGCCGCTCCTCACTCCTCCTCGTTCCCTCCCACAGAGGCTCCGCTGCAGACGCTCCACCTGGACGTGTGGGGCCCAGCCCGCGTCCAGGGGCAGGGCCGCGAGCGGTACTTCCTGCTGGTTGTCGACGACTACACGCGCTACACCACGGTCTTCCCCTTGCGCAGCAAGGGGCAGGTCCTTTATGTTTTGATCCCCTGGATCCGCGCTGCTCGTCTCCAGCTCCGTGAGCGGTTCCAGTCGGACTTTCCTGTCCTGCGTCTGCACTCTGACAGAGGTGGTGAGTTCTCCTCCGACCTCTTGGCAGCCTTCTGTGCGGAGCACGGCATCACCCAGTCATTCACGCTTCCGGCCTCTCCGCAGCAGAATGGGGTTGCTGAGCGCCGCATTGGCTTGGTCATGGAGGTCGCTCGTACCTCCATGATCCATGCGGCTGCCCCCCATTTCCTGTGGCCGTTTGCGGTCCGGTACGCCGCGCATCAGCTCAACCTCTGGCCCCGTGTCTCCTTGCCGGAGACCTCGCCCACACTGCTGTGGACGGGGAAGGTGGGCGATGCGTCGCGTTTCCGGGTCTGGGGTGCTCGTGCCTTTGTCCGCGATACCACCGCGGACAAGCTCTCCGCCCGCGCCATTCCCTGTGTCTTCCTTGGTTTTCCTCCTGACGCGCCTGGCTGGCAGTTCTACGACCCCGCCTCGCGCCGTGTCTTTGCGTCTCAGGATGTCACCTTTGACGAGTCCGTTCCCTTCTACCGTCTCTTTCCCTACCGTACCTCCCCTCGCGCTCCCCCGCCGCTCTTTCTCACCCCAGGTTCTCCCCAGGTAGACCCCCTTCCCGCGCCAGGTCCTGCCCCTTCAGGTGTTTCTCAGGTAGACCCTCCCGTACCTGCGCCTGTTGAGGTCACTGGTGACTCTGGTCCTGCTGGAGGTGTAGTTGGCTCTAGGGGTGCTGGTCCTCGGGGTGCGGAGCCTAGG